AAGCATCCTTGCTTAAGCATGTAGGATTTGAGTGAAAAAAAGGTGAGATACATGTGAACAAAAAAAAGAAATTACCAAAGAAAGTTGAAGAATTTTGGAGCTATCAAGTATGAAGATCAAAAGATCAAAAGATCAAAATTCCAAAGAATAAAAAAAAATTGAAGATACCAAAAATTCAAGCAAAAAGGTGGTGAATTCAAAGAAATCAAATACCAATTATTCAAAGAAGTGAAGAATTCCAAGAGCTCCAATTTGGTATCTAAAGTTGTAATTTTTAGATTATGTATGCTTGGGTTGCTTAACCAAAAATACCTTGAGGTTAAGAAAAAAAATCTAATGATTGATTCTGAGGGTTGCAGAAATGAGTGTCGTATAAACTAAGGGGTGAAAGTTCATAAGGATTGTGAGTATTTAGGAATATGGGGTTTTAGGAATCATAGACACAAATATATGCATTGAGGTCTTGGTATAATCGATGGGATAAAATTGGATTGTTCTATGTGATGCTAGTGATGATGGTTTGAATTAAAAGTAAATAGTTTTGCTTGAGGGCAAGCAAAGGATAAGTGTGGGGTATTTTGATATTGTCATATTTATACATACTTTTAGGCAATATTTGAATACATTCTTATACATATTTTTGGTTATTCGCATGGAATAATGGTACTTATAAGATTAAATTATATTTTGTAGCCCAAAATAAGTCATTTTGAAGAATAAGGACTAAAAGTGGAAAAAGAAGAAACTTTGGAGGCTTGGAAGACTAAAGAAAATAAAACCCACGAAAATAGTTGTATCCATGCCGTGGATATCACTTACACGACGTGGAAAAGGAAAAATCTGGAAGATGAGCATACATAAAGTCGAAATCTTTGCCCGATAAGGATTCCTCCAGGTCCACGACGTGGAGCTCCTCTGTTCCATGATGTGGAATGTAATCTCATGACAACTATAAATACCCTTGATTTCTACGAATTTAAGGGGTTGGGTGGTGAAAAAAGGTTTCCAGAAGTCGATATTCAGAAGGTTCAAAGGCCAGGAAATTGGTTTGAATACCAAGGAAGAAGAAGTTCATAATTACTTTCTAATTGTGGTACTTTACAATGTTTTTTATTATGACTTGTTTGTATTTATTTATTAGTATGAGTAGCTAAATCTAGCTGCTTCTGTTAGCTAGAAGAAGCTGGAACTCATGGTTTGTTTATAATAACTTAGACTTTTCTTGTTGGTTAATGTATTGTGTTTGATTGATTATACCTGGCATGCTTAATTTGATGCTAGATTGCTTTGAACTCTTATTTTGTGTAGTTAGTGACCATTAATTTGCATGAATTTGAATACCTAGTAATTTAGTGAACATTAGATTATTAGAGCTAAGATTAAACCAATCTTAGATAAGTAATTGACGTATTGAATTTTGTTGTGCTAGAGAACTCATACTATGAACATAATTGTGTTTGTTAACTTAATGTTACATAGCTCCAATTCTACTTAATAGTTAATTATGTGTTAAGTTATGTGTGACTATGCATAGATCTACATGAATTAATTCAACATTAGTTAATTTGGAATTGAATTGCTAATAATATTTTAATTGGTAACCAACGAGAATTGTCATAAATAATAATTAAACCATTAAGGGAAGGTGGATTCGAACTAACAGAAGTGTTTTTATAATTTGATTGAATAGTTGTTGATAAATTAAGCTCATCTAAACTCGCAAAATTAGATAAAAACCTTTTTAATTATTGTTTGATTTTAGATTAATTTAGAATAATTATTTTAGCTAATTAAATATGTTCCCTGTGTTCGACCCCAACTTACTTAAACTACACTAAAATCCGACTAGGTACATTGCCTAGTTTCATATTGGTTAGTTAAGTTAGTTAGGAAATAAATTTAAAATTAGTAGGTACTTTTGTGCAAATCAGCGGCCATTCGTTTGATGGTTATGGGGGAGTCACCCGATACGATGGATGACTATATGAGAGTGTCCGAAAGAACAACAAGGGAGAGTTTGTATACATTATCAAGAGGTGTTGTTGAAACATTTGGAGACATATATTTGTGGAAACCTTCATTGCATGATTTGAAAGAATTGTATGTGGGGCATGAAGAACGCCATGGGTTTCCTGGAATTATTGGAAGCATTGATTGCACACACTGGAAATGGAAAATTTGTCCAATAGCATAAAAAGGGGAATATGCAAGTGGTTATCACGGATTGCCTTCATTGGTTTTAGAGACTATTGTTTCTCAAGATTTATAGATTTGGCATGCATTTTTTGGGGTTGCGGGTTCCAACAACGACGTCAACCTTCTTGATCAGTCGCCAATATTCGACGATCTTTTCAATAGAAAGGCCACGGATGCTCCTTTCATAGTGAATGGAAGCGAATAAAAATATAGGTATTACCTTACAGATGGAATATATCCCCAATATTCCACATTCATGAATGCATTTTGACGCCTGGTTGAAGAAAGTGACAAGTTTTTCAAGAGAATACAAGGAGCACCTAAGGATGTAGAACGTGTTTTTGGGGTGCTAAAGGCGAAATGGCACATAGTTGAACAAGCAACACGACCATTGACTTAGAAACTCTACGATATATCATGTATGTATGTATCATAATACATAGCATGGAAGTAGAAGATAAATGACAAAAAATTACACCTAACGGAGCCCAGACACGTTCAATTTCAACAAGGAACACCAGAGTATTTACATAAAGTTGTTGACATTCAGGATGCAAATAAACACAAATAATTTTGAAAGGACTTAGCAGATTATATCTTCCACGATAACAATAACAAATAAACGTTGTTTAGAAAAAATAAAATATTTTTTATTGTAATGTTTTTTTTCAATTTGAATGTTATGTAATTTAAATGCTATGTTATTGTAATCTTAATTTTAGTTTTTAAATATTATGTCTTTTTTTTTGTTTTTTAAATATTATATTTTATAAAAATGCATTTCATTTATTTAATTTAAAAAAGACAAACAAAAAAAATAAAAAAAAAAAAAAAAAAAGAAAAAGAAAACAAACAAACAAACTTGAAAAAAAAAATACTGACATTGAAAAAAATTAGAGTTACATCTTGTTATAACATGAAAATCATTTCCTCACTTTGTAACATCATTGATAATATGATACATAAAAGGACACCAATTTAATTTGATACTATATCTAGTTATCTAGTTATAACATAAAAATCATTTAGTCACTTTGTAACATCATTGATAATGTGATACATAAGATGATACCAATTTAATTTGATATTACATCTAATTATCTAGTTATAACATGAAAATCATTTCCTCACTTTGTAACATCATTGATAATGTGATACATAAGATGATACCAATTTAATTTGATATTACATCTACTTATCTAGTTATAACATGAAAATCATTTCCTCATTTTGTAACATCATTGATAATGTGATACATAAGATGACACCAATTTAATTTGATATTACATCTAGTTATCTAGATTCGATACTCTCCGATACTCTTACGATTACTTCACTTTAACCGGTTTACCAAATAAAATATTCATTCCCACTTTTTTATTTTGATGGATGTGGGTTGATAACCTGTATAATGAAAATGAATTTATTGACATTTCTAATTTTATTAGATAATGTTGTGTTTTATCTTATTGGTTTTGATTTTGATGCATGTCACGATAAAAAAAAATGTTATGTTTTGTTATATTTTATATGTTTTAATTTAATTAAATAGAAAAAATAATGTTGCGAATAATTGAATAGGTTGGAAAAGACAAAACCATCATATATTATAGGTTGGAAGGGTCGTAAGAGAGAGGAGATAGAAAAACTAATCCGATTCTGATATGACATTAGGACTCTGAATGGATCGGAAGGAAATGACAACCTCTTCCCTAATAAATATCTTTTTTGTTCAACAATTCTTCACGTGAAAGGTTAGTTACTATTTACCAACACAATTTCATCTAAAAGATTGACTAAATGGGTTGGCTAAAAAGATAAAATATAATAATAAGAGTATTTCTAAATTGACAAAATTGCAAGAATGATCCATGTGGTATGTCCAAAAATGCTGATTTGGGTCAAACGAGTTTGGACTAGCACAAATAGTCCAAAAGTTTTCATTTTGCTGCGTTTTTGGTCCAAAACAGTTTAAAAATTCTAAAATTGACGAATTTGCCCTTTCCATTTGTTTTTTCTTTTCTTTTTGTTATTTAATTATTTTCTAACTAAAAAAATATAAAAAAAATAAAAGAAAATCTCTCTCTCTCTCTCTCTCCCCCCCCCCCCCCCTCTCTCTCTGCTATTCATCACCCTATACCACCCATACAAACACCACCGCCTAACGCCACCTTCAATCACCCAATACCTCCCTTATTCCTCAATTATCACCATTCCTAACAGTTGCCAATGAAAAAAGAAAGAAGAAAATAGATAAAATAAGGAGCTACGATCAATTCAGAAAGGAGAAAAAAGAGAACTGTGATCGAGTTCAGAAGAAGGAGAAGGAGGGTTCGACTTTGGGTGACTGTGTTTGTCAATTGGATTTTGAGAAGTGAAGGGGGTGGGGTCTGATTTCTAGTGTGAAATTCTTGTCGTCGATCTAACATTGTTGGTGTTTCAAGGTTCGCTTTTTTTGATCTAACCCTTGCTGGAGCTTGCTTTCTAGCACCATCTGAACCACATCATCGATGAACATATTTGAAAGGGGTTGATGAATCCGATAAGATACCTAATATTGTTGATGAAGCATCAAATTTGGGATCCAAAATCGGAACTTGAACAGAAGGATTAAGGCTTGAATCTGATAAGATACCTTTTATCGTTGATGAATCGACTTGCTTGAGCATGAATTAAAGGAAATTGGGGGAAACGAGGCTAGATCTTTCCGATAAGGAGTTAAATTGGGTTGCAAACTGATCTTGGAAGAAGCTAAGTTGAAAACTGATCTTGCCCCTAATGGTGATTCATAACCATCACTGGTATCAGAGGTGGCACCTACAGAACCTACTCCATAATCAAACTTTGAGATCTGGGTTAATTACACACACTAAAAAGGAACTTGGGATCACATCCAAAGAAGATGAAAATGGTATGTTCTGAATAGAAAAGAAAAATGGTTACCTAAGATCGATGGAGGAATAAGGAAGAACGACTGGAAGCTGCTTGAGGGTTGAAAAGAGATGAATACAGAAGGGAAAATGGTGGTAGTCGTTGGTTCTTCTTCTTTGCTGACAGTGCCAACAATCCTGTTTGCGATCGGAGGCTTGCTTCAGCTGGCCATGGCAGCGATTTGGTGGTTATTAGGTTAGTTTTCCATTAAAATGGAAGGAAGGCGAGAGGTTGAGCTAAAGTTGTTGGATTTTTCTGGTGAGAGAGAGAGAGAGAGAGAGAGAGAGAGAGAGAGAGAGAGAGAGAGAGAGAGTATTTTTTATTTTTCTTTTAAATATTAAAGAATTTAAATAAATAAATAAAAAATGAAAATAATTAAATAACAAAGAGAGAGAGAGAGAGAGAGAGAGAGAGAGAGAGATTTCCTTTTATTTTTTATATTTTTTTGTTAGAAAATAATTAAATAACAAAAAGAAAAGAAAAACCAAATGAAAAAGGGCAAATTCATCATTTTTAGAATTTTAAAACTGTTTTGGACCAATAACGCAACAAAATGAAAAATTTTGGACTATTTGTTCTAGTCCAAACCCGTTTGGCCCAAGGTAGTATTTTTTGACATATCACATTGACCATTCTTACAATTTTGTTTTCTAAATTTATGTCTATTTTATCGAACATGCAACATACTTCCTTTTATGCAATAAGATTTCAAATCCAATGTACTTCTATTTATGCAAACTGATTTCAAAGATGTAATCGCTTCACATATTTTCGAAAATGCATTTTTCTGATTTTCAAACATATACTTCAAAAAAACAAAATATAATAATTTTATAAGTCAATAAGAGAAACTTGTGAAAAAAAATCACCATATATAAAGAGTCGCTTCAAAAAAAAAAAAAAAACAGACATTCGAAAATCTATACTTCAAACTATTTTACTTTGTAATAGTACATATTTTTTATATTACAATTTTGAAAATAGTAATTTCAAAAACCATAATTATATGTTATTATGTTCATAATACACACTTATCATTTGAGAGTTAATTATTTTTCTAGTCATCATGTTCCCATTTTGTTCCAATTAACCAATCAGAATTCAGATAGCAAATAAAATCTTCAATAAGTAGACGAAAAAGCCATGAAAGCGATATATTTTGTTGTACAACAATACAATAATCCAAGTCTGAAAATATGAAACAATGTATATATTATATAAGCCTTGGATAATTAGGCTTTATATATTATATAATACCAAGTAAAATTCAAGAGTATAAATATAAATCTCTCACCATATTAATTAAAAAACATCAGGGTGAAATCGCCCTGGAATTGAGCTGCCTTGCTGAGCCTGCTTCAGATGCATGGTCAAAGAATAGTTGTTGACCTGACAATCAATCATAAATTCATAATCAATTATAAATTAAGTAAAATTTTGTTTTTCTTTTTTAAATAATGAAAAAAAAAAAAAAAAAAAAAAAAAACCTCAAGAGTTCTAAGTTGTTCTTGGTATTGAGATACCATTTGCTTTAGATTATGCAACTCTTGCCCCCTATCTTCAAATTCCTTTTGTCTTTCATGTTGAATTGCAACAGCTCTTTTCAACAGAGAGTTTTCTTGAATTAGGGCTTGAAGTTGTTCCTTCATCATCATATTTTCCTACATGTAAACAAAATCATCATCATTCAATTATCAAACCCTAGAATTTTACAAATAAACAAAGTTAAAGTTAACACACCTGTTGAAGACCATGAGCCTCAGATGTAACACGTTCACATATAGATTTCTCCAACAATTCAAGAGCTCTTGAAGCACGAATTCGAGCATCATCAATGTTGGAAGCACTCACCATTTCTCTCACAAAAAGATCAACCCAATCTGCACCATCTACAGGTGGTTTTTGAGGTGATGAATTCTCCACAACAGCTTCACCATTTGTAACGCCATTAGCTAAAACATCAATACATACACAGTAGAATAAGAAGTGTTAGAGATGCCTAAAAGAGAGAAGATAGAAAGAACATAAGGACACACCATTGGGATGAATTTGATACTCGGATTCCTTTCCAACAGCAGAGGCAGCTTGTTCAACAGAAACTAAACGTAGCTCGGTAAGACTTTTGATTGCAGTTTCAATGTCATCACCACATTCGTTCAGAGTTCTTTCAAGAAGCTGAAATAGATTGTATATGTGGTTCTGATTGTCAGTATCTGGTATGCTCAATCTAGAGAAAAAGCAATTTTAGATAGGCTTCCATTGCAAAAAGTTGGCTCCAAGGTATATTATATAACTAGTAAGTATAAGTACAAACATATGTTTCTACTATGTTGACAATCAATGAATGTTACACAAACAGCAACAGGAAATCTTTCTACTTAGAGAAAGAAACACAAGATTTGGGATGAAACAAGAAAGATAAAACTATATAAGCTAGATGCTTCCTTCTGAAAGGAGAAACGAATGAATACCAATAAGGAACCGATAAACAAGTAACTAACCTGCTTATCCATGTCAGGGAACAGCGCGATGAGACGATCGAGTGCGAAAAACCGCGACGATGGAGTCGCTGAGGAAAATTGCACAGGGGACGAAGAAGAAAAGCAACGGATTCTTTTAGAAGCAGGAGGCGACGCCGATGATGAAGAAGGTACGGTATGATCCTCGAAGAAAGATGATCTTTTCCCCGCACACCACCGCAGACATGTTGTGTGTGCAGCTCTGTTTTTTGTTTTCTATGATCGCCTTCTCCCCCCTATATCTTTCATACAGCAATTCAATTCAATCAAATACAAAAGCCCCAATAATTTCAATAATTAGGGTTCCGCCCTCTTTATCACTTCAATCAGACATCAAAAAACTAGGCTTCTGATCCTCGATCCAAATTGCTTCTTCACTAATTCGATCGAATTCGAGTTTTGTTGATCATCCAATCGAAAAATAAGTATCGATTTCCCTAGATCGCAAAGCATACAAGGAAGGGGTTTGGCTTTTTATCGAATTTCGATATTCAATCCACTTCTGGTTCCCCTAGGCGTTGGGTTAAAGTGA